GTGGGGGGGGGGGGGGGGGCAGGGTGAGGGGTCTGCAAAAAATTTTAAAAAAATGGGCTGCCCATCATGATACCTTAATACAAAATCAGAGACCTCTCCAGATTATGATTTTCAAATCTTACAGAGGTTTTCAAATCTTCTCTCTTATGCAGGGGGGAAGGGAGGCTCAGTAATCCCGCCCCCTGCCCCAGTGCTCCATAATTCAAACCCTGCTTTTCCCAATGATACAAAGGTGGGAAGAAAAACACTACCAACTGGTGTCCAGTAACCACACACCCCTAGCAGCACTCTGCCACTTTAATAAAAGCAACATTAGAGAGACAACTCCTGAGTTTCTCAAGTTGTCAAAGACTTGCATGTCCTATAAAAGCAATGTTTGTCCGTGCGGTCCTCAACACAGATGTTTAAGCCCTAGAGCAGTCTGTCTAGCCTTGTAAACAACTGTACATTCACATACTTCAATGAAACAAAAATTTGTACAAAAACCCAAATGCAAGCAAACACTCGACCCTATGAGATCAACAGAAAGCAAAGACCAAGTATTAATGGTAAGTTTTCAGGATGGAACGACAAACAGCAGGGTCCCCCAGGGATGTGTTGGGAATAGTGCTGTTTAACATATTTATAAATGATCTAGAAAAGGGGGTGAGTAGCAAGATGGCTGAATTTGCCAATGACAAAATTACACAAAGTGGTGAAGACCAAGGCAGAGGGTAAGGAACTACAGAAGGACCTGGCATGACTGAGCAAATGGGCAACTAAATGGCAGGTGGCAATTCAATGTAGATAAGTGTGAAATGAAGTCCCTAGGCAAAAACAACCCAAACTATGTCTATACTATGATGGCCTCTACATTAGCAGTTGCCACACAGGGAAGAGATCTGGGAGTCACTGTGGACAGTTTGATAAAAACATCAGCTCAGTGCTCAGCAGCCATCAAAGAGACATACAAAATGTTGAGGATTATGAAGGGAATTGTGAACAACATGGAAAGCATCATTATGCCCCTTCATAAAGCCATGGGGTGACCCTATGTTGGAACCAGAACCAGTGCCCAGTTCTGGTTCCCTCAACTCAAAAAGGACATAGAAGAATTAGGGAAGGTACAGCGAGGACTACTAGTGGTATGGAGGGGCTTCAACATGAGGAAACACTAAAGAACTAGGTCTGTTCAGTTTAGAAAAGAGACACTTGAGGGAGGGCATGAGAAGGGCTTACAAAATACTAAATGGCAAAAATAAAGTAAAGAAGGGTTTATTATTTACTCTCTCAAGACAAGAGCTGGGGAGTGGGGAGGCCACAAAAATCAAACTAGTCGGTTGTATGTTTAAAACTAAAAAAAGGAAATTCTCTCTCTCTCAGCATGTCGTTAAAGTGTGGAATTCATTGTGACCACTCTTGTGGAAGTTGATAGTTTGGCTAGATTCAAAAAGGGACTGGACAAATTCTTGGAGGAAGCGGTGCGGATCAGTAGCTAATAGCATGGGAGTCAAGGTTACAGCCTTCCTAGACCTTAATGCTAGGGAGAGAAGTTACACATAAATTGGTTTAAGTGATCATAAGCTGGTTTAAACCTGTAACAGAACAGAAGTTCAGTGCACATAAACCAGTTTTAAAACCTCTGAAACTGGTTTAAGATAAACCTGGTTGAATGTAGTATCAGACCTAGCTGATTTGGGTCAAACTGGTTTATGCAACTTCTGTCCCAGACCCCTTCCTGGTTTAAGTTAAATCCAAGTCTTCCAGCATTCCAGCATGTTTTGCAGCCCCGGGCTGGGCTGTGCTGTCTGCTCCAGAGACCAGGGCTAGCTCTGCCCCTCTGCTCCCAGCTGGAGCAGTGAGGGCTGGCTGACAGGGAGGGGTGGGGGAGACAAGCCCAGCTGGGGATGCAGCCCACTCTACCATGGGGGGGGAAGGGGAGGATACTCTCCCTCCTTCCCCCTGGCAAACCCCAGCTGGGGCCAGGGAGGGGGAGTTAAACACTCCTTTCCATTTACTGCTGGCTGCAACTGTAGACTACAAATCCCAGAGGTACCTGAAAGCAGGAAGAGGAAGCAATGAGCAACTCTGCAGAGTCCTGCTGTTGTAATTCTGGACTGCAAATCCCAGAGACCTCAGGGGCAGCAGGAAGAAGTGAAGACACAGTTAGAGAGCCAAGCTCTAGCACCCCCTGACTTCTGGTCTGAGCCATGCAGGCCTGTGGCTGCATTGCCTGAATCACAGGTAAATGTCTTTTTACTTCTGTTTCAATTTAATCTGTGCAGTTTAGACTAACCTGCAAAGACTGAATTAATTCAGCCTTGGGCCTTTTGAATGTCTGTATCTAGCCTAAATGCTGGAGGCTTCAAGTGAGAAATGAACAGTGAAAAAACCCCCCAAACAACAACCTGGTTATACCATAGTCTTAGGCCCGTGTCACACAGTGGCAGAGGGGGAATGCTATCTGATGTGCCCTGATATCATGGGCTTCAGCCCATCACAAAATCTATAAGCCCCACTTAAGAAGGGTGGCCACTGGGGACATACCAACTAATTGCTTGGGAGAACAAAAACAGGAA